AGCCAAATTTGAGTAGCTCAAGCGATTCCCATGTTTCATGGTAACGTGGACATATAAAAGGCCAGCCTCAGAGCATCTTCCTCAGTCAGTCCTGAGCAACTCTACAGAGCAGAGGCGTGTGTAACTCAAGCCCCCAGGAAGTGCGCCAGACTCTGTGCCCAACATTCGTTGTGTCCAAACGGCGGTACTGCAACTTCCGTATCAGTCCGTGACGTCACCCGGCCCAAAACAACTTTTTCCCATTGACTAACATGGGGAAAGAGACGTCTGTAAATCGGTGGATACTTTTTAAAAAACTAAATAAACTACCCAGTATGAACTATTTTATAGCCCTTATTATAATCATTAGGTCCTTAAAGTTGTAAAATGCACTAAAAGCCGAATCTAGATTTATTTTCTGTCTCCATTCATTCTAGTGAGCCGAGAGTGGGAGCTCGGGGGGCGGGGCTTAAGGGGCGCATGCTCTATGAGCGCACATACGGGTTCTTCTGCTGACAGCCAGGCATGACGGGTAATCTGTGACGTTTCGCTCTCTCAAAAGTTGGGCCATTTTGACTTCATGCGCCAATGAGCAGCTCTCATAGGAAAGAACGGGACCCCGCCTCCCACGCTGTATCCAGTTCTTATTATATCCATGGTGTAACTCCCAAAGCTTCAATCACAATTAATCACAATTCAGTTCCTGTAGAGATTTTTGGAATGCTCTCCTCAATAAGTCTAAATAACTCAAAATGAGGTATTTCTATCTAAGAACATGTTCCCTATTTTAAAGTGAAGTCTTGTTCATAACCAATAAGCTAGTAGTTTGACTCTAATTGACCTGAACAGGTTCCCTATTCTAAATGTGCCTCCTCTTCACACTTGTAAACACAACTACTGAAATGAACCTCAACAGTACATGAACAAAGTAGGCTCACATTGAAATATCTGTTTTATTAATGAACCACTAAAGAGAGGTTCAGACACATACATGTACCAAAACATGTCAAGTTTCTCCAAGGCTGAGAACATATATGCAGCCTGTACTTTGTAATAAAACTGATTTTTAACAGAGTTTATGTATTTGTGATCATACTGTGTGACCTGCTTGTATGTACTTACACAATAGGTGTACTGTTCTCTCTATTTGTTGTACTGTCTCAGTGTGAACATAGATTAGCCATGCTCCTTTATTGACTTATTTGCAGTCCACTGACATTCAAACGGAGTGAAAATATAAAAAAAGAAGTTACAAGGCACTTAATGATCTCATACATGCAAGTGATACACAGATTATTTGTAGAATATGGTCATGTAGAATAAGGCATTAATAAGTGTTTTATAATGACTAATAAAGAGCCAATATACTGCTAATATGCATGTTAATTAACAACTAGTTGATGGTGAATTTGTGTACTTAATATGAAGTTGTACCACTTATATGATGAACATTGATGTCTATGTGCCTTATTCTGTATTTGACATAATAGTTTCAATAAAAAAAAAGATATAACTCAATATATTGAGATAGCTAAGTCAATATATTGAGATAGCCAAGTCAATATATTGAGATAGTTAGTCAATATATTGAGATAGCCAAGTCAATATATTGAGATAGTTAGTCAATATATTGAGATAGCCAAGTCAATATATTGACTTACAGGATTTTTTTTTTTTCCTGTGGCGCAAACAGGCTTCCATATTAAAGTGTTCTCAAAGCTGGTAAAGGTGCAGCTAGTTGTAATGACTTTGTATACTGCAGGGTAGCTTGTGAATTTACTCCAGGTGGAACTAAAGTCTGATTTAAGAGTTGATCATTAATCCAGATCTATAAAGTACCTAAAGGTATTCAATAAATGTAGTGGAGTAAAAGTACATCATTTACCTCTGAACTGTAGTGGAGTAGAAGTACTAAGTAGCAAAACATTTAAATACTCCAGTAAAGTACAAGTACCTCAACATTTTACTCAAGTACAGTACAATATAATAACATAATTATATATATTTGATTTATTTCACATTTAAATAAAGCAATGTTAATTCGGTTAACAATTTGTTTAGTTTTTCCCTTTAAAAAATAACTAAAAGTACCTATAAGAATACCGTTAAAGTACCGGATCGATAAGCAGTATTGATAAGAGTAGTAGTACCGTTAAAAACCTTAACGATACCCATCCCTAGATATTACACAAGTAAAGTGTTAAGAGAGTGAAATGTTGCTTTACGAATTTCAACACTTGATGCCGTCACATTGATTCCAATTTCAGTTGTATTTGCCTAACTGAATTAGGTTAAAGAGAGAAAGCATTTTGACTAAAATTGTACTAAAATGTAATGAATTTTCATCGACTAAAACTGGACTAAAACGTTTTGAGTTTTCGTCGACTAAAACTAGACTAAAACTATGAAGGATAAAAAGGACTAAAATGTGACTAAAACTAATAACCATTTTCGTCTAAAGACTAAGACTAAGGCTAAATCAAAAATAGCTGCCAAAATTAACACTGAAGTGTAAGATAGTGATGTCACTATGTTCCAGAAGTAAACAAAGGAGGGGGGGAGGGTGAAAGAAACTTTCAAAAACCATAATAGGGCCTCTTCAAAGGTAATATCTCCCGAAAACAGAGAAAAAAAAAAGAACTACTTGCACTTTAAATGACTGAAATAACTGGCTCTCGTAAGTGAGATACCTTTAAAAGACATTGAAGTTAATCAAAAGGGCAGTAACAATCAAAGTAGCAACATTTACATTCTAATGTGTAATGTCTTCTCTCTACTTCTCACTCCCTTTCAAGCATATTTTTTATTTGTATATAATGATATATAATAAATATTAGGGATGCACGATATTGGTTTTTTGAAACCGATACCGATAACTTCCTGCTTCTCAAGACCGATACCCGATAATAATATAATATATATATATATTAAATGTACCTGTAGTTTTTGCACACCTGGTGGTAAAAAAAGACTAGTAGTGAGCAAATGACATGAGCATTACTACTATGAACAAAACAAAGCCAAGAACAGTTTTGACTCTCGTCAAGCGCCGTCATTTCTATGATGACGTTAGAGATCGTTTTAGCCCTGGGGTCGTCTCTGGCAAACTTCTTGCCTTTTTCAAAAGCCTCGTCGATAGGTAAAAGCCCCGGTGCCTTTGCAGCTGGCTTTGGATTCGCCGCTAGTTTAGCAGCGCAGGCGTCTTCGTGCGCTTTTAACACACCATCGTAGCGATGGCGATGTTTCAGGTGACTAATCAGGTTGGAAGTATTATAGCTCGTTGCCTTTTTCCCTCCTCGTGGAACTTCTGCATTTGTTAATACAAATAGCAAGCGAACTATCTAACTCTGAAACTTTGAAATAGTCCCATACTACCGACGACATGTTTGTTTACTGTCCTGGCTTCACGGCCGCACACCATTTACGTCACAGCCAGGCATGAGTTAGGGAGCCGATAATTATCGTGCACCACTAATAAATATATTGATTGATATATATTATTCAGTTCAAATTCCATAATCTCAACAAGGAGAACTCCAACAGCCCTTAACCATAGATTGCAATATATTGCGTATGAGTCACTTTAAAGCAAAGGACTCAATCAAGCTGTGATGTCTTTAGGGAAGATGTTGCAACAGTTTTATTTTTCTCAAAGACCTGTTCATGTGTGGTAAATTGGTTAGAATGCGCTTTTAAAATAACAGTTTCATTAGTTTACCTCAAAGTTGGCATGGATGTGGTCACAAGGACACTTTTGTCTAAATCTAAAATATTTTGATAAATATGAGGTCGGAATGAAATAGCTGAGGGTAGTCGGTTGGTTGTCTAAAAGCATTCAATCTTGTTAGATAAGCTTTCACAGCAGCCCACATGATTAGTTTTAATACAGAGCACGTTTTTCTTTAGAAATATGGGACCTGGCTCTGGACCACAAATTACTGTCTGCGTTCAGCCTGAGGATGACAAATTCATACAGTAATTATCTGTCTATTAAAGTCACCCATACCATATTTCCTGTCCTTTAAATGTACACGTGATTAAACAACAACTAAATTCAGTACATCATTTAAAGTGACACCAAACCATGCCGTGCCATATCTGAAGCACTCATACTAAACAGAGACATTTCCCAACATTAAGACACACAATAGGGCTTTCATGAAGACTGTAGGAAACTTGTTCTTCTGTACCCCAACCACCACACACTCTGTCACCTTGCTTTGCGTGTGTGTGTGTGTGTGTGTGTTTGTGTGGCTTGAGTTATGATTTTTCAATGTATACCACATGTAGCAACCGTGTATCGTCTGATATGTTTTCAATATGGAGGAAAAAGACAAGAGCGAAAGAGAGACATGGGGAAACTATAGACAGCCACAACATTTCAAACTCAATAATATGCTGTTTATAATCAGTATCTAAAAATACAACTGGTAACTATGACTACATTGAGGCGAACGGGCAAGCCAAACCTCTCTATAACTTTCCCTAAGCCTCACCTTTCTGTATCCTCATTTCCCTTTTCTTCACTCCCCTCCCTCTCTCATATGACAACTCTTTCGACAGTTAAATAATAAATATCTTATGAACTAACCCTCCTCCTGCTGCTGCCAAGAGCTCAGAGCAGAGTTTACTCCTTGTAAAATAAAACGTCTGAAACAGTATTTGTTCGGCAGCCAGGAGCTTGTCGACAGGTGACCTGCTGGAGTAAATCTTTTCAATAATGTCAAAGGCAGCGCCAAAATCTGCAAGTGTGTGCCCTACTCCTACACACACATCCGCACAGTTACAGAGACACACACACTGCGAGAACAATAACCCAAACTCAGACCGGCATCACATCTAACAGGGAAAGCACACAGACACACAATCAGAAGCTGATAGGGAATGATAAAATGGGAGTGACCAAAATGTATTCCATATTCACCCTCTCTCTCACACACACAAACACACGCACACACACAGATAAATGAGTATTTGTATTGTTTTCCTCCTTGTCTTTCAGTACACACACACAAACTCACCTGCTCCCGCGTCATGCTTTGCAGCTGCGTATGCCAGGAGGCGGAGTCAGAGCGGTGATAGGCGGGGGGCGGGGCGAAGTCCTGCAGTATGATTGGGTCTCGCTCCTGACACAGCGAGGTCAGGTGACTGATGTACAGCTTCAGCTTGCTGCGATTCTGATTGAGATCCAGGAGAGGAGAGAGAATCTGAAGGAGGAAGGGACAAACATCAGAGGCCTGTACTACGCAGCTGGTTCAACCTAACCTCGATATGTTTGAGTTAGCCTAATCCAAAACATACGCGCTCTCGCTAAGCGGTCCTACAACGCGGGTTATCAAGTGGATCGCTCAAGCCAGCCGTGTCCTATCTAGTTAGGTGCGCGTTCACATGAAAGGGGTGGTATTTGGAGCATTCGACCAATCACAAACATGGACAAGCGTACTGACAGCGCAGCGCATGAATGAAAAGTCAACTATAATATTAGACATATGAAGAAGTTAAACTTTAAACATCCATGACTTAAACACTTTATCCAGGATACAAGCCACATAGCTGCACCTGCAAGGTGAATACAGCTGGTAAAAGAACAAGTGTTTGAATGCGTACATTAACAGGTTTATGATATCACTGACCCGTCTAAAACACGATCTGACTTTAATTACATTTGACTCGAGTGTTTCCTCAACTTAATGTGTTGCTTAAAATAATACTTCTGCATACAGTATGTGACACTGTGAGTGTTGCACGGCCAGATACGGCTCAGCTGACTCAGATAAGGAAATATATGATACATTATGATGTGATATGCCGCGGACTGTACTTAATGTTACTCTGATCCGGTTACTTATGTTGTGGCAGATATTTAAGTAAGCTTTCTTAACGCTAATGTTATAATAGTCAGATTGCTCTGAAGATGGGAGGTGATATTCTATTAATGTTCACGTTCACACAGTCGGTGATTTTTGACCGTCTTTCCTGCAACGGCAGCTTTTCTGTATTTCCTTTCTCCTGTAATATGACTTGATCGCTTTAAACTCCGCACACTGAGCTCTGATTGGTCAGCAGGCAGTGCTTTCACTGAGTTGAGCTCTTAGCCTGCAACCTAACCTGGTCCCGACCAGGTTAGCCGCACAGCATAAGTTACCATGAAGATCTAGCCTGCTAAAAAGAGAACCAGCTTCGTAGGACCGGAAACCCTGAGTTTTCCCAGAAGTTAGCCGCTAAGCGAAAATCCTGCTTCGTAGTATACCCCCCTGATGGATTCATTTCACTGCACACAAAATATAATGATGAAAGGTCAATACTGCCTATGATTTGTAAATCTGTGCACACTATGGCCTTATGATAACAGGTCTTCACTGCAGAGAGAGTCAAACAACACTCAGTTTCATTTATAGACATTCCACTAATCAAGCCTAATGCAAAACACCTGCTTCTCTTTATTTATGATTGGCTGAAATCCATCGTTCAGTACAACCTGTTAAACAGTCACTAGAGTTCCTATATAGTTCCTATTAAAGCACCTATCCCAGACACACAACTTTATCATGTTTTTCTAAACCTGTGAAAAAACACAAAGCTGGTTGATAATTTACCGATATAACAAAGCAAAAAAAAAGAAGATATATCTCAACATATAAACCAATATATCACTCAGTAACTTCATATGTTTGAACATCCTTGCAGATGCATGATGGAAATAGATGTGGGTAGTTATTGTTGGAGAAATAAAATCATATTAATAATAATAATGCATTACATTTTTTTATTAGAGCGCTTTTACAGGTGCTCAAAGCGCTTTACAAATATTGCTCACTCTTCGCTACAACAATGAAAGCTGACGGTAATTCAAAGTAACTGTCACTTCTGAGTCCTTATTTACTGCACACACAACACACCGCCTCTACACATACAGTCATAAAGGGTCGTTTTTAAGGAAGTAAATGGCTCAAGTACAGGTTTCTTCCGGTGAGGACCTGCCAGTATAGGTTCTAGTCCATTACGAAATCTGCATTACTGAACATTTTCCTCCAGAGGGAGAAGCAAAGGAGGCAGAGGGGATGGAATTAAACTAAGGCTGCAGGGTTGCTACACCCTCTGCATTTCATAACACTCTGCTGTCTGTTATGATGTATGCTGACGGCTGCATGCAACAAGGACGCAATCGCTCAGTCATGTTATATGCCAATATGTGAACCCCTCTAGAAAAGGAATCTGGCTTTAATGCTTTAAAAACACTCTCAACACATGTGCAACAGCTGTTCTCTAACACTTTCTAATCCTGACTATGCTGTAAAAAATCTTTAAAAAAAATTGCGCCACACTTTTCAGACCCGCAGCAAAGCTCTGTGGATCAAAAACACGACAAATGAGAAACAGACAGAAAGAATGGAAGGAATGGCAATATAAGGATATCGTTTAAAGAGAAATAACACCAGTGTTCTCTTTCTCTGTTTCAATAAATATGTAATGACTAACAGAGAAGCCTGAATTTACTCCAGTAATAACAACAAAGTGAAATATAAAAGTCTCTGAACTTACTGATTCTATTAAGGTGTACACTGTACAGTATCTATGCTCCTACATGTTTTTATGTATTACACAACCAGCAATGGTCAACGTACTGTATGCAGTGTTTTAAAATCTCTTACTGTACTAAGGCCTCAGTCTTAATAAGCCTCCCATACTTGCCTACCAGTCTCTTACTGAGCTATGAAACAACTCCAAAGAGAGACATTTACACACACACACACACACACACACACACACACACACACACACACACACACACACACACACACACACACACACACACACACACACACACACACACACACACACCACACACACACACACACACACACACACACACACACACACACACACACACACACACACACACACACACACACACACACACACCTATAAAGCTTCATTCACACCACGGAGGCACCTCTAAGCTAGGCAATTCATTTTCAAATTGATACAACAAGTCAGAGCTTAGGGTCATTAATCATCTTCTAAAATATTGAAAAACGTGTCGTTCCAAAACACTGAATTCCTCATTGAGAAACATTCACACCTCTTCCCTGTCTTTTTTCACTGATGCATCTAATACCACTGCAGACCATTAACCATGTCGAATACCATGAACAATGCTTAGTGTGTTTTAGGAGTGCTCTCCTGTGTTTCAGTTGTTCGTGAAGCATTTCATTCTTTAACTGTAGCACAGAATTCCCTCATTGAAAAATACACAATCACTCACTGTTCTGTTGTAATGCGCTATGGCAAATGACCCGCCTTACACACCAAGGAAAAGTGTGTCTGCGCTGTATGTGTGTGTAAAACTACCCATGAAGCCAGGAAGAAAAAGAGAGGCTGGTCTGCTTGTCTCAGCAGGGAGGTGCTACCGCTAATTAATAACCAGGGTCAAACTTATATCCGCTGGTGAACCTGTGGGCTTTAAGCACCCCAAAGGGAAATCCCACTGCAGGAAGCAGCATGTGCTACTCATATGTGGTGTTGCCTTCACTGGCCTGTCAGTAGATCAGACCTAATACTACTCTTTGAATAAAGTGAGACCAAACTTAAAGAGGACATAATCTGTTCATTTTCAGGTTCATATTAGTATTTTGTGCCTCTACTGGGACACGTCTCCATGCTTTAGTGTTCAAAAAGCTCTTTATTGTTCTCATACTGCCTGTGCTGCAGCATTTATTTTCACTCTCTGTCTGAGACCAGAGCCCAGTCTGCTCTGATTGGTTAGCTGCTTTAAAATGGAGCGCTAGCCAATAGAAGAGTGTTTCATAGTGATGTCACTATAATAATAATAATACTACATTACATTTATAAAGCGCTTTTCCTGGTGCTCAAAGCACTTACAAGCAAGTAAAACAAAAATAACAACAAAAGTAGAAAGTGCTAAGCTACAGTAGGAGGAATAAGGGCAAGGGGTTAGTTGATTAGGAGTTGAAGGCAAGAGTGAAAAGGTGAGTTTTGAGAGGTTGTTTGAATGATGTGAGAGTGTTGGCGGATGTGACGTGGCTGGGGAGGGAGTTCCAGAGTGTGGGGGAGGCTGCTGCGAAGGCCCTGTCACCCCAGGTCCGGAGCTTTGTCCTGATGGGCTGCAGTAGGTTAGCTTCAGCAGACCTGATGCGACGGGTGGGGGTGTGTCGTTGGATGAGGTCACAGAGGTAGGGGGGGGGCAAGGTTGTTGAGGGCTTTGAAAGTGAAAAGTAATATTTTAAAGTCAATGCGGTGTTTGATGGGGAGCCAGTGGAGGTCATGGAGGATAGGGGTGATGTGGTCGGAGCGTCGGGTGGAGGTGAGCAAGCGGGCAGCTGATTTTTGGACATATTGAAGTTTTTTTAGTGTGAATGCAGGTGATCCAAAAAGTATGCTGTTGCAGTAATCCAGTCGGATGTTATAAAGGCATGGATCAGAGTTTCAGCAGCGGTCGATGAGAGGGAGGGTCTAATGCGGGCAATGTCCTATAAATGGAAGAAAGCGTTTTTTGTGACCTGGTTGACGTGAGGGAAGAAAGTGAGGGTGGGGTCGAGGATGATGCCAAGGTTATGGATGTGAGTGGAGGGGTTGACAATGGAGCCATCGATGGTAAGAGAAAAATCTTGGGTTGAGCGGGTAAGTGAGTTTGGGCCAATGATTATAAGTTCCGATTTGTCACAGTTAAGTTTTAGAAAATTGTTTTGCATCCAAATTTTAATGTCAGTGAGGCAGGCGCTGAGCTGGGAGTGTGTGTTGAGAGGTAGAGCTGTGTGTCATCAGCATAACAGTGGAACTGGAGTTGGTGTTGACGGAGGATTTGTCCAATTGGGAGGATGTAGATGATGAACAGAACAGTACTATGTTCCTGAAGTAAACAAAGGAGTCCAATGGAGGGCGTTTCAGGCAACTTAAAGATTTATTTTGTTGCGTACGGTTTTGTTGCGTACACTACAATAAACACAGTCCTTGGTTCATATATAGAGAAGACACTGCATAGAGAACATACACTCTGTGTGTGTGTGTGTGTGTGTCTATTAGACATGCAAGTGACATTTTTTTGATGAGTGGACACCTTTCCCGCAAGTCTATATATAATGCTTCCCGGTCATTCTTAAATCGCTGCTGTCCTCCAAGTCTACAATTCAAAATATCTGCGCCCAACGTGGGGCTCGAACCCACGACCCTGAGATTAAGAGTCTCATGCTCTACCGACTGAGCTAGCCGGGCTACATATGCCAGGAAAATGGATCAGATTTCATTGCTGACTTAACCCTAAGGGCTGGGTACTTAGGGGTGGTGTGTGGAATTTTGGGGTCCACTTTCCTCAAACCCCACACAACTACAAGACTATGTATGCCCTCTACTAACAAAATAGTGGATCTGCTGATGTGTATCAAACTGTACTGGTTGATGCTGGGATGCAGTAACAACCACAAAAGTTGTTGGTTTATGTGACAGTGGACATAGTATATTGAGCTTGATTGTGTTCATCCAGTCCAGAAAAATAATAATTTGATGAGTGGACAGATCTTGCAGGCCAAAACACTTTTGGCAAACTAGGGGCTCAAACCCACTAAAATAAATCTGAAAAACTATGATCCATGATTTGGATTAGAAAAGTAAAATGGCTTAAGAAAGACTTCAGCCAGGGTACATTAGATGTGTTAGGTTGTGTTTTTGTTCTTGGTTGATGTGAAGGCTCTCATGCATGTGCGATTAATGACCTTCGGGTCCCAAAAATACTACTAACCCCAATTGAGTAATTAAATAATAGTACAGGGGTAGAGTCAACGGAGACATTTTCCTTTCATCATTCCTAAAAAAACGTTTTACTGTATATTTTGGCAAAAGCAACAGCTTCCTTAAACCTTTTACTAGATCCCACACAAAGAGTAGTTTTCAGCTGAGAGATGACTAGCCATAAAAACAAGACTAACACATAATGCATACGGCAATAGAACAGGAGAATAAGTAACAAAGAGGTACATGTAGCATATTACAGAAAGGGAGATCTTGTAAAAGAAACAACACATGTCCAGAGAAATCATCAAACACATGAGAACATTTGACATTTCTATATTCAACCCAAATGACTAAGAGAAGAGGAACATCTCAATGAAACAAAAAGTGTCAATAGTGGATTAAATGAAAGAAATTGATGAAATAAAAAATCAACATGATGAATGGATAATTACATGACAAAAGGGGTGAAATGACAATAATCACAACACCAAAACCTGATCACAAACTCAAAGATGAAAGAAAAGAAAAGACGGAAGACGAATGATGATCGGATCCAGACAAAGAAGACGCTCACCCTTCTGTACAAATTGGCAGACCGAGAGAGAGAAAGAAGGCATATGATTCGCTAGGCCCAAATGCCTTCCTCATCGTCCTATTGGTTAGTTTGGCCCAACGCAGCGTGAGTTTGGAGAGAGCAGTAAGTTAGTTTGGTGAAGCAGGAAACTGTAGAATAACAAAGTTAGTGTGGATAAGTGAAGAAGAAGTTAATGTAAAGGTTAAAAGTTCACACATATGATAGTCTGTCTTTTGAAGTTAAGAAGAGTTATCGTTAATAGGAATATTTAGAAATATTACTTGAGAGCATGCTTTCAAGTTTTGGGCATGGGCGTCACTTTGTTAAAAATAAGTGGTGGGGACACTTTTTCAGATTTAAAATACACGACTGCATTAAGCGCCCTCCCCCCCTTAAACAATACATACATATGCTTACAATACTTTTTTTGACAACTAGTGCTGTAACTTTGCTACGCTGTGGCAAAGCGTGTGAAACAATTGCTTTACAATTCTCTATTCAATTATCACTTATATCAAATATGTTGCAGTTCCAAATTGCACCACTTGGTAACCAGAAATACACCCAAAAGTGTGAACAGTCCTCAAGATTGTACATGTTCTCTGGTGAAAATAATGTGTACAATTCATTGTGCACGCTAATTTCAGAAACATTTTAACAAACTATCTTAATGCAGAGTAGTGGGGACAAAATTGTCCATTTACAAAAGTGGTTCGGGACAAATACCCAGCATCCCCAGTATAAATGATGCCTATGGTGCGGCAGGAAACAATATTTAGAGCTCAATATCCTTTGGAGAAATCTTACCTGATCTGGGGAGGGCTTGTGATTGTTGGGCTGCTCTGAGCTTGGAGAGGAGACTTTCAGGTGCTCATCTTCATAATTGTCAGACATAAGCTTCATCCGGTTTTGAGTCTACAGAGAGAGAGAGAGAAAGTTTCAAACAATTAGATCTCTAGAGAAAACAAAAAGCAGTGTATGAGTGTGATACGAGGGTAGCCATCTCGGAGTTCATTTGCAGAGAGGAGAATGTTGGTCAAATTTGACTTTTCTAACACACAGAGACAAAGAGAAAGAGATGTTGTCAAAAAGTGATGGGGATTGAGTTTAAAATGGGATGGTTGGTTCAGCTTAGATTTAAAGAGAACTAGAGACCATCTTATGGTGGAATCACACCAATTGCGACGTCAAATCTTGCCTCTGTTTTGGGCAACCTTAGTCAGACTACAGTCATCTTCAGACTCTGCCTTTGTTTTGATCCCAACTACACATCTGTCAAGTTTGTATCCTTGTTCTGTTTCACATGTTACAGCTATACTTTAAGCTTTACAGTATGTCTGGAAATAGCTATGGAGTAAAAGAGAAAGAAAGAGGGCGTCTTAATCTGTCAGTCTTGTACAATCTAAATCCCTTTAGCTTTTAACTGAGCCCTGCAAGCCCCAGGGGTTTAAGCAGGCCAGACTGAGGTGTGTAGTGTGTGCGTGTGTGTGTGTGTGTGTGTGTGTGTGTGTGTGTGTGTGTGTGTGTGTGTGTGTGTGTGTGTGTGTGTGTGTGAATAAGACTGACATACAAATGTGAATGACAACTTTCATTTGTATTTGCCTCAAAGACAGGATTTTTAAGAGTGTGTGTGTGTGGGCAAGAGAAAGAGTTAATAAGGGGTGCTGTGTGTGTCTGTGAGGACCATACACCATACAAGTGTGTGTGTGTGTGTGTGTGTGTGTGTGTATGTTTCTATGTACTTAGGTCAAGTTGAAGAAAGCCTCCCCAAACACATTATTAATTTCCTCTTTTTTCTAAAGACAACTTTAAAATAAACACAGACATGCATTTAAAACAAACATGAAAAGTTCATCTTGGAAATAGTACATCATCTAGAGTCACTGCTGTATGTTTACACACACACACACCACACACACACACACACACACACACACACACACACACACCCACACACACACACACACACACACACACACACACACACACACACACACACACACACACACACACACTCACAGCTGTGGAGTGACCTTTATTTGTCTCTATCTATGTTTGCCTCTCCACAATGTTCTCAAGGATATAATCTGCCACCATTTGATGTGTTGATTGATTCCAATCAATCAATTTAGAACAATTGATTAACAAAACAACAAATTACACAGCATACACACAAATAAAGTACTAAAATACGGTAATTAAAGTAAGTAAGTACTTTTGAAAATGCTTTAAAAATATGTCCGGATTACAGTATTTCAACACAGAAAAGCTGCAGCACTCTGCTTGGTGTCAAAATTAGAATTTCAACATCAAACAAAGACATGTTACGCACATAAACAAAATAAGGGGTAGCTGTATCGCTTAACAACATAGATGTCACCAGCAGATAAAACACTCTTGTCAGGAGTGGGATTTGAACCCATGCCTCTATTTGAAGACCAGAAAGCCCCTTTACTCAGGAAGGAGTCACTCTTTGCCCTCAAACGTAAAACTCTACAGAGTGTGGTGAAAACTGCACAGCACATCAAGAAGACAGAGCTGCCATCCATGGAGGACCTCTACACCCAGCAGCTCAGGAAGAGAGCCATCAGGATTATAAAAGACCCCCATCACTACAGCAACAAACTGTTCTATCTGCTGCCGTCTGGTAGGCGGTACCGCAGCATCCGGACTAAAACCCAAACCCACGACCCTGAGATTAAGAGTCTCATGCTCTACCGACTGAGCTAGCCGGGCTAACAACAATGCTAAAATAGGCCAAAGTTTTGAATTTCAGATAGAAGCGCCGATTGCATTCAAAAAAGGGGTACAGAGTTTGAATGAAGGGCAATCCAAAACACCCTTCTCTTGGCTTTCTCGTTTTGCCGTAGTTCTGCCGTGTTCACATTTACTCAACAAACTCGACCTGGAAGTGAAAGGTTCTAGGTTTTAAAACAACAGGTCTGAATGATCTAGGATTAATACACCCTAAAATGCGACCGCCCAACGGGGGGCTAAAGCCCAGGTAAAACACTATGTCAGGAGTGGGATTTGAACCCATGCCTCCATGTGGAGAACAGAAGTCCCTTTGCTCAGGAAGGAGCCAGTCCTTGAGTCTGGCGCCTTAGACCGCTCGGCCATCCTGACATAAAACCAATATCTCTAACAAGAGATGTCATGATAATGATAAATTAACTGTGTAACTATGTAAAGAGAGAGACAAATGTGTAAAATTCCCATGGCTATAAAAGAGAAACACTACAAAAAGTTTTAGTGTTTGGACATGTATATAATCTTGAACAAAAAAGATGGGTTTTAATGTCCTTAATACAGGAAATACCTCTTTACAAATGCAGTCAGACTTAAATTAAAGGTACATCTCTACAGTTTACGGCAGGGAACCTCCGGAGACCATTTGGTACGGCCCTCGAGGTAATTTATAAACACACGCAAAAAAGAAAAAAATTCAAGAAATCTAGACCGCAAAAAAAATTAAACAAGCGAGTGCCTGTTTTTCCTGACACGAGTCAGGGTCCTTGAACACAACACGAGCCTAACGTGTCATCACATGGTATATGTCTCGTCTGACCCAGTTCTGACGGAGAGCACCAGAACGTTGCTCCGGCACTTCACAAATTGCAGTACCCATAAGGAGCCGTACACATGCCGCAGTTTTTGCGTGGCTGTGTCTTAAAGGCCCCGGCCACACGAGGACGAAAACGGCTAAACGCATAGGATTAACGCAAACGCAATCGCAAAAAAGCTTCCGTCCACACGCAATATTCACCAGATAGTGTCTGTCCACACGAGACAGCTCCGTTTAGCTCCAACCGCTGGAGAAGCTGCAGTACATATGCAAAGCCTGTACGTGGCGCTGTAACTTCCTCCACAAAAGCAGCGAAGAAGCATGGTTGTCATGGTTGCCCTTCTGTTTATTCTCCACGGTGGGGGCCGAGGGAACCGGGCAGAGTTTTTCGCCAGTCAACGTGTATTAAAGTTTAAACCTTCCGGACAAAATTATAAAAGTGCCGGTCAAAGGTCTTCTTTGTTATTTATTGAGCTTTAAAACAAATGAATAACGACTCTATATAATATAATAATAAAATACACGGAGCCTCTCTTTTTCCTCCCTCTCTTCGGACAGCGTCAGTGTCTGTTTCATGCAGCAGCTGATCCAGTAATGAGTGACCCGGCCGACAGTAAAAACAAACATATTTATAACTAGTTTAGGTAGTTTGAGAGGTGTCTCCGTCCTGTCAGATTAGACTTCACTCGCGTTTATGTCCATATCGAGAGAAAGATAAATAATCTGAATTCAGTGTGCAGTTTACTTTGACGCGGGGGTGAGCAGCAGCAGAGGTGGGGAGGCGGGGCTATTGCCTCATCATTATCAGAAAATGATCGTATAGGGCGTACACACGGAGCCGTTTGACCCCCCAGAGCGTTGCATATGCCGTTCTATCCACCTTGGGACCCGTTATCGTTTCCGCAGTCATTTAGTGCCGTATTCGGTCGTCCTCGTGTGGCCGAACGGTCTATATGACACTAAACAGTAACGCAAACGACCGTTTTCGTCCTCGTGTGGCCGGGGCCTTAGTTGTAAGCCTAGTGGCGGCGATCTGTTCATCTGTCATATTGATCATACTGTACAGTAAATAACTTCGTTGTTATTAGCATCTGGTTAGCTAGCTATGCTAACGAATATAAGAAGCTTTTTCTACAACCAGTGAGATAAAGGCACATCTTTATATGATCATTATAGTTATAAAAAAATAAGAGAATAAAGTTAACAGGTATAAAATACTATATGACAGTAACAAAGAGTTGTTATTAATAAACAAGAATACAGTTTGAAAGGGGAGTGATTTGTAAAATATCCATAAAGAAAACAAAAATCTGCTTCCAGTTCTGTTTCATCTGGGTGTTGAGAGATGTATCCATAGATCTACTAATGTTGCTCTCAAAGTGCACCAGATTGATGCTTTTAACTTCAACATTTAAAAAATAATCTTCCCGGGAGCATGCCCCCCCGGACCCCCCTAGAGGAGGTTAGGTCCCCCTGACCCCCCCCCGACTAAATCATGTTCACATGGATATGAGACTAAATACATTTGCACACATCTTGTGTCCACATCTTTTTATTTTGGTGGTCATGCCACACCGTGCACGTGCATGCATGCGCGAGTCATGGTGAGATATCTGGATTAAGAGGTTGCTTTTTCTTTGCACAGCATGAAAGAAAGGCCAAATGAATGGGCTGTGATTTTAGTTTTTTCAAGCAGAGGTCAATCATTTGTCCCTCGGAGGATGTTGAAAACATTGAAATGGCCCTTGAGAGGAAAAAGGTTCCCCACCCCTGCTTTACGGGATTACAATTTCAGAGGTTTAAAGTGTCTGAAGTTGTAGTCTTCACAAATTCTGATTATATTTTATTGTTTAAAGAATTGTTTTTGATCTGTGATTTCCCACAAGCTTAGGGTTCCATGGATTTTATGTGTAACTGCAATATCATTTAACACCATTGTAAATGAGGTGACACACAACCAGAAACTTGAGAAAATACAATTGTAGAGCCAAGCTTTAGCCACACAGGTGCAGAACAATGGTGAAGGCCACAGCCACACATAGACCACCTGTACATGTTAACAACGTGTGTCTCTTGCAGGGGCAGATGGTGGGATACTGGTCACCTCCCCCATTTCTTCCTCTTGTTTCATTTCATAAAATACTTCACTCACTCCTCCTACACTCGTCTTTCACATAATCTTCCGAGAAACATTCCCCTCTCTCTCATCGTGTCATGGTTTTTGCTGAAGAAAAAAAAAAACTCATAAAAGAAATGAAGAAGAAAGAGACTGTGAGAAAGATTTGAGGAGAAGAAGAGTGAAGATAGCTGAGATCGCCTTGATCTACAGCCGCCTGTCTATAATGCAGCTGGGGGTCAAAGGGGAAGACACAGGAGGCACACACACACACACACACACACACACACACACACACACACACACACACACACACACACACACACACACACACTGTATATTCTTAAACACAGATGTGTTTTATGAATGTGAGTGTAAGTGAACATTTAGCATACATTTTATATTAAAGATTCCTATTGTGCTTGTTGGGGTGTTCCCTTTCCTATGATGTGTTATGTAGGTTTTTGTGCATGTCAATGGTCTACAAAGGCTCAACTCCCTGTGTTAACTCCAGAGGGACTCTCACACACTCCCCCCCCCCCCCCCCCCCCCCCCCCTGCCTGAAACGCTGCCATTGATTACTTAGAGAGCATAGTGAGATCACTATGTAACACTGGCACTTCTATTGGCTAGTATTCAAACACATTGAACAAGATAGGCTAAGGCGCGGGACATCTCTAATTGGTTAACCAATCAGAAAAGAGCCGGCCAGCGAACCAATCAGCGCAGACTGTGCTCTGGTTTCAGACAGAGGGTGAAAAGAGGTGCTGCAGCACAGGCAGTATGAGAAAAAAATAGCTTTTTGAACATTAAAGCATGGAGACATGTCCCAGTAGAGACACTACATACACCTGAAAATGAGCAGAATATGTCCTCTTTAACACCATTTTTCGCTGCATACATTGAAGTCTTTCAATAAAGTTTAAAAAAACAAATATTTTGTTAATCTCAGATAATTATAAAAAAAGACAAAGGCAGCAAAGTACATCTTCATTTTTTGTTGCTGCTACAGCTCGTTGCAAGCAGCCATACAGAACTTTGTCTGTTCATTCAAATATTTTTAAGTTGCTGATTTCAAACATTGATCTGATTCTGTAAATGTAACCTGCTCCAAAGAAACACAGGTGAAGCAGTGTTTCAAACACAAATTCAGACCAGACGTGAGATGTCAGCGGTGTTTAAGCGCTACTAAAACACTCTGACCTATGATCTACTGAAGAGTGATGGCCGTCAAAAAACACTCTGGAGAAACTGTAAAAAATAGCATTGGGGATCATCCATCACACAAGTTAACCACTTAGTTTTACTTTACGGAGCTAAACACACTGCTTTCTGTTTACACCTGCCTCATGGCAACCAAAGCTCTCTGATTTATAATCACATACAATTCCATACCGCAACTCTGTCTGTCCAACTGTCAGGCAGGTTATCAGTAGCAAAGTGTGTGCATATGTCACTCTGATGGGAGCGAGCTAAAAATACTATCCTCAGCTAACTCACTTGATGGTTACACTGCAAACACAACCACACGTGAACACACACACGGGAATATTGAGGAAGTCTCGGCTGTGATCCATCATTGAGGGACGGAAAATTATGACACCACAGAGAGAAAGAAAGAGAGAGACACACAGCATGAGGGGAGAAAAAAAAGCCCACACCCTTGACACCTAGACAGTAGAGTCTCTGTGTTGTCAGTACCCTCCTCAGAGACCCTGAGGTGTCATAAACGACTTCAAAAAGGACGGAGAGATGAGGGAGGAAGAGAGAGGAGAGTGATGTATGTTATAATGACTTCATTTGACACAGCCACTCTCCAACACTTCTCTTAAACACCAATTCAAACACTCTTTTACACACAACTGCGCACAACTTTCCTCTCTCTTGTGCATCCATCTTATTAGATCCGTTAGAACTCATTCAACCCATTAAGTGAATATTTGGCAATGTCCAATAATGCGAACATTATGCAAATACATTTAAATCAATGATTAACTTATCTGTTTTGATGATCACATCTCAGTAAGTATTATATTTCACATTTTGTGAATCAAGGTACATACAAGTAAACACAAAGCTCTTAAATCTCAGTGATGTTTGATATATTATTTGCCATTATTGTGTCTGTGTGTCTGGTAGTTGGTGCGATGACTGAGTGACTGTTGGTAGTGGTGGAATGTAATGAAGTACATTTCCGAAAATGTTGAGGTACTTTAAAAAAGTACTTTCCTTTTTTGCTTCTTTATACTTCTAATCTACTACATTTTAGAAGGCAATATTGATTCACTTGTAGTAAACAGTTATTTTGTGTTTTCTTGTAATTATTGAGTGTTCTTGTATTTTAATGTGGGTTTTTTATACCTCGGGACTGTGGGAAACAGTATTTCGATCTTTCTGTGTGTACAAACATATTTTGAGATTGACAATAAAGTTGACTTTGACTTGTACTTATCACTCCACTACATTAGTAACCATTTAAATTACCTAATAAATAAACATTGACATATAATTATAGGATATGATATCAGGCAGCAGTATATAACGTCATTAAAAGTAGCTTCACCTTTACCAGCTGTGATGAATACATTAATGCATCATTCATTATATTCCAGTGATTTAATATATAAAATGTACTGTATATAATTCTGAAATGGGTGTTTACATTTAACAAATACTTTTACTTTTGGTACTTAATGTGAGGCCAATACTTTTGGATACTTTGACTTGAGTAAGATTTTGAATGCAGGACTTTTCTTGTATTTTTACAATTTAGTATGATACTTTTACTTAAGTACATAATCCGAGTACTTCTTCCACTGGTCCCATGTTTGCAGAAAATGTGTGTAGCCCAACCATCCTGTAAGATCATGTTGAAGCAGCTATGGTAACGTTATAAATGTAATGAATGTGATAAATATCATTGGTGTACAGCCAGCAGAAGGGAAGATAAGCACTGAAGCTCCGACTTTTGACCTTCTTATTCTGTATCAAATTATTTATAATTTGTGTACTGTTGCACAACTTTTGTGAATTTGTGCATCAAATAAAAACACCAAGTCAAAAACAAGGAGTGACAGATGTGGACAGAAAGTGAGTACAAACAGGAGACCAGCGAAGAAGAAATCCACCAAACTCCCAGCAGGCTCGTCCACTCAGGGGTTGGTTAATTCACTAGACCCACGAGAACTTTAACTGTGTGTGAGCGTGTCTCTGAGTGTGTGAATAGACCTCTGTGTGGAACCACAGAGGCAGTTGGTCATGTTTATATCCTTGTTTTTGGCCTGGGTGAGTGTGTACACATCGGCATGTCTGTGCTTGTGAAGGTGTAGCCATACCAGGGAAGTGTTGCTAAGATTCAGTGTGCGTATCTGAGGACAGAACATTTCAATAAAAAACTCATTCACATGAAAGTGTTGTGACCCTAGATTTTATGGAACATTTGAACTTGGTGTGTGTTTGTGTGCGGTGTGTGTGGGAGGGGTAGGCTAATCCTAAATCCGTACCCGTGGTGGTGGGAGGACTGTGGTCACATCTGGACTCAGTTTCTCCTGTTTTCTTTTGCTCCCCTCGCCAGTGGCCACTTCACCTGTTCCCTTTTACCCCTCTCACACTTTTTCCCCTCCATCTCTGCCCCTCTTCCTTTAAAATAACTGACGAAAATCTTTCCTGGTGTCCACTTATATGTTGAAGTGTGTGTGTGTGTGTGTGTGTGTGTGTGTGTGTGTGGTGTGTGTGTGTGTGTGTGTGTTGTGTGTGTGTGTGTGTGTGTTGTGTGTGTGTGTGTGTGTGCATATAGTAATCCTACCTGCTGTTTGAGCTGATGAACCAGACCATCCTTCTCCCGCTTCAGAGCTGCCACCTCGTCCTGGGTTTTCTTCTTCTTGGAGGAGGAGAGCTCCAGCAGGGCGATGTTGGCGTCTTTCTCACTGATGGCTGCCAGCAGCGCCTCTTGCCTACACAGAGAACAATCGTTTGGTTAGCAAGACTACAAACCTTTTTATTTTATTTAATTAAAGCCACACTTGGTGATAATGCACAAGTTGAGCAATAATTGCAATATGAAATAGTTGCAATAGGACACATACATTATGGTTTCAATGCCGTTTTAGACATTTTTTGCAAAAAATATATTGCCGAAAATTACGAGACACCTTTTTTTCCAAATCTGTTTTGTGTAAGTTATCCAGAGGATGTTCCCATTACATTTCTAAATGAAAACTTTATGAGCATAATTCCAATCACTTCACTGGTATTGGTGTGGAGACAGGAATCCCGGAGATAGATGTCTCTAAATCCGGACAAAAGAAAACTAATACTAATTTGGGTATACTTTAATGTCATGGTGAACCCATGGTGTGTCAACAAGTGGAGCAATATCCTCTTTATTGGGCGCTACTTTGTGATTTAGAACGATAAAATAGTTACAAAAGTATGGAGCTCCCTGTGGTCAAGTACGACGCACACCATGCAATCAAGATGTTTCCACATTGTCTATATGCCATATAGATCCTCATGATAAACCCTCCTTCATATTGTCTTTAACTGATTCATTTTACAACAGTTTTATACACACATATAAATGTCTCTCACTCTGCTTGCATACAGGTATTACTCTCTAGTCCTTGTCTGTCTTTAGAAAATATCAAGCTGCTGTTTCTAGATCACGATGCTGGAGTGATTTAAAAATATGTTTAAAGGGGTCCAATTGAGCTTTTTGGGGATTTCCCTTTGCTGTAGTGTGTTACAGTATATAGGTTTCTGTGCATGTCAATGGTCTGGCATTGCAGACAATTACACGGTTTCTCTTTCGGCCTGTCACACGAACAGATACAGCGGTGCAGAGAGGAATGCAGTGATGAGAGTGTCTAAATCAAGACAGATTGCACGTTTGGACTCTGTGAAGACCCACAGATTCTTTGGTCAACCTCACTGACCAAACTGTCAGTGTACAAGTGTCCCATCATGCATCTGGACACAGCATTCCTGTCAGGAGCAGAGGCTGAGGGAGTGGAGACTGGGTAGAGTGATTTCCCGGGCCAGTCTGCTAAAATACTTTTCAGACATGTGAATATGGAAGCACAGTTTTGAGATATTTTTTACCGATATGTTTATGAATTTATAATATTATGTTTCAACACGCCCATAGTCATCCAAAATGCTCCTTCTCTTCATTACAGTGTTGAAAAATGCAACACTTTGAACTAGCTCTCGGACTAAATATAATCCGGGAATCATTTTCTTTCTTACAGATTCTGAAACCCTGAAACACTTTCACAGATTTTCCCTTTCTTTTTTCACACAAACTGTCATTGGTTCACACACACGTACACACCCAAACACAGGAAGGCTAATGGAACATTAGTCTTGTAAAGCTAACAGTGCGTCTAGTTTTATATCATATCTGAGAGTAACCTGCCAGCACACAGCGCTTATAAACCCCGGTGATAAAATGATATTTATTCCAGATGCACTCGTCTCATTCTGGGCCTCTCTAGGGCTTTCCCTACATCTCTTCAACACACAAACGCACTTAAAATAATCTCTGTTTGGCCAGAGCTAAACACATGCTTATGACAAGTGCTAGTTGTGGCTACTGCTGTTACGATGTGAACATTAAAATCTGTTTCAAGTGTAGCTCTCTTTTGCCAAATCTTTAGATAATTCTGCCGTCAGAGGGCACTTAAAAACACAGTATGCTCTCAGTTGGCTGGCAATGTGTCCTTACCCTTTCTTAACTGAAAATAACAAAGACAATGTAGCCAGCAGTGTGCAGAGGAAAGGCTCCCAGCGGACACGCAGCCTCAGATCTGTTACTTTACTTTCAAGTATTATGGAGGGCACAGTAGGATAAAGGAAGGTCTTCAAAGTAAAAGCTTATTTATCTGTTATGCTACGCACGAAATTCTTTATTATTCCGCCGGGTTATTTTGCGCCTCTTCTCCTCGCACATTGAACATCGCAGAAACTTCGTTCAAACATCAAAACGTTCGGCTCGGTCGGGAATCGATGGCTATTACTTTTATCATTCATAACTTTCATAATTCCAGAGATACATCTCATAATTCATCACATTTTTAACATGGAAGTCAATGGAGAAACTCTTCAGACTTCAACAATCTTCATGCAACTTCAACTGCTAACTGCTCCTTCTTCAACTGCTAACTGCTCCTTCATACAGTACTTCCAACTTTAAAATGTTACACATCTTTCTGACATTATTCGTGTAACAAAACTTTTAAATCTGATTCTTACTTTTAGAGATATTAAACATTGTTCAGACCTTGGTAAAGAGGCCTTCTTCAGATTTTAGAGTGTGTGATGTCACTGCTAGTGGAGGACAGATTTAATTTTGCCTTCATATTTTCTTTTAAATTTGCCATAATTCCCAAACCCTACATTCCTGAGACATAATTTTTCATGACAAACGTAGGAAAACATCTCGTAGCTTGAAAGATAAAAAAAAATTAAGCAAAAATAATTAAACAAAATGCCTCTTGGGGGCATGAAGTGACAAAAACTTTCGACATGTCTCCATTAAACTCCATTGTAAGTTCAGCCTCATTTTCCCCACCACAGCAGCCTTTAACCTTTAGTTAATCTGCCAAAAAGGCCACATTATTAACCCGAAAGTACACAAAAAGTACACTTCAGATGCTCAAGTTCCTTGACATGCTTCACGCTTTGAAATTTCGCCGATATCTGTTACGGTTCTTCAACAAAACGTTCACATGTAAGAGGTTTATCTCTCATTCAGAACAATGAAAATGCTTTCCTCTCACTGATCACCATGGAAACCTTTGATCTCTGGACACGTTGTTAGCTCAAATATAAACACCTGTGTCATGAAACACGATGATAACTATGTGAGTTAATCTTTCAAATACAAGGTTGCTTGTTTGATTCAAGCTCTTGTAGTCAATATGTCAAGGTATTTATCCCTAACATTTTATCAGCTAACTAATGACACACACTCAGAGGACCTTTATAAATGTTTTAAGTACTGCACATCTTTAAACATGACTCTTATAAATCACTTTTAAAACCAGCGATGCACTCCAGTGTCAGCTTTTCTAAAATAGAAACTTCAATGTTCACATCTTTCTAAATGATTCTACTTTTCAATGACCTACAAATAATCCTAATAATAATCCCATTTTCAATCTTCCAACTGTTCATATTTTTTGGTCAATTAACAAACCTGTTACAAATGTGTTGTTCAACACATTTGAGCCTTTGCCACATTATTTTAATCACCATGGAAACCTTTGATCTCTGGACACGTCGTTAGCTCAAATATAAACACCTGTGTCATAGAACACGATGAAGTCATAACTCCAACTGACATGCTCAGAGCAGCAGACTTCAGATAATGGTTAATGGTCCTGCCCTCAATAGCTCTACATCAATTCATATGCCGTTTCCATGGAAATGCATCCCTCGCCATAAAACACGATGTCGCTGTAGATCCAATGGACACGGTCCGGTCGTCCCACAATCTTCACCTGTATATCACCTCTCCATGCCTCAACAGCTCTACGTCAAATCTGACATCTCACCATATGCCGTTTCCATGGAAACGCATCCCTCGCCATAAAACACAATGTTGTCGTAACGCCTATGAAAAGGGTCAAAACAGCACCACACTTCAGATAATGGTTAACGGTCCAGCCCTCAACAGCTCTACGTCAATTATGTGGTTTCATCATATGCCGTTTCCATGGAAACACATCCCTCGCTATTAGGGGTGTAACGGTAAACCGAAGGGCCCGTACCGAAATTATTCGGTACGGGCCCTTCGGTTCGGTACAGGTGTGTACCGAAGTGTACCGAACGAATATAACGTTAAATGTAAAATATTGAGAATGTGAACAACTTTTTGGAAGTAATCTCAGGTGCTGCGTCACAGCATTCAGAGTAATTTGCTCACATTGGGTTCAACGCGTCATAGAGCGACCAAGTCATTTCATTGGACGAGAGGCATACTATGAGAGCTGGTCACAGGGATGCGTTCAAATGTAGTCAGTAATTTGAGGAACTGTCGAAATGGCGAACGCAGATAAAGTTGAGCTCGAAAATCCTCCAGCATCATTGAAGTCTCCGGTTTGGGAACATTTTGGTTTCGCAGTTACGTACAAGGAGGATGACGGACAAAGACAGGTGGACCGAACCAAAGCTGTTTGTCGGCATTGTTCAACTAAAATTGGTTACGTGGCTGGCAATACATCAAACTTGCACACTCATTTGAAAAGGCATCACCCGAACGTGAATATCACCAGTACCAAAAGAAAAAAGACTGAAGTGCAAACCCAACTCCCGCTAGCATGTAAGCCTCCACCACTCGCAAAAAGTTCAGACCGAGCCAAAGCTATTACAAACGCCAAATATCCTTATGTTGCCATGTTAGCAACGCGCTACTTGGCTGTATCTGCTACCTCTGTCCCTAGCGAGAGGGTGTTCTCCACAGCAGGAGACATTGTTAGTGCCAGCAGATCTGCCCTTTCGGCAAGCAATGTGGACAAGTTAATTTTTCTTTAAAAAAACATGAAAATACAATGACAAGCAAGTCATAATGTCAAACTGGCTGCTTAGGTACTAGTACAGTACAGTTCAAATACAGATTATTTCAGTTCATCGAAATACTGCACCTTAATGTTTATTTTATTATATTTTGTATTTATTTGAGTGAATATTCACAGTTTAATAATCATTAAAAACCCAAAACTAATAGTTTATGTTTTGTGAGTACTAGTACAGTAAAGTTCAAATACAGATTATTTCAGTTCATCGAAATGCTGCACCTTAATGTTTATTTTATTATATTTTGTATTTATTTGAGTGAATACATTATTCACAGTTTGATAATAATTAAAAAATATATATATATATTTTATGTTTTGTGATAATTTTTTCTGCTGTACCGAAAACGTACCGAACCGTGACCTAAAAACCGAGG